GCAGCACAATATAGTGCGTTTCCACCACGCTTATGGCGATCATGGCGCGCTCTGAGAACATTTTCCGTCGACGTAGTATATGTTTTCTTAGTCCCTTTAGGAACTGCATCTGAGCGGACGATGTCCACTGACAGTTCCTATCCGTTCTGAGAACATTTTCCGTCGACGTAGCATATGTTTTCTTAGTCCCTTTGGGAACTGTATCTGAGCGGACGATGTCCACCGACAGTTCCTATCCGCTCTGAGAACATTTTCCGTCAACGTAACATATGTTAGTCCCTTTAGGAACTGTATCTGAGCGGACGATGTCCACTGACAGTTCCTATCCGGCATAGTTGCGATATGAAAATACGGTCAAATACCGCTCTTCCCCACCTCTGTTCTTAGGCTACTATTTTTCACCTTGATTCTACTTTATTCGCAAAAGGGATCATTTCTTGCCACAGCTGACACACATTTATAATGATTTAACACTATTTTCGAGTAGAATTCTGCGATTAAAAACATACACAAAATACGTTTATAATTTTCACCCAAGTCAATTTTAATATAATTTGTTTTTTTATAATTTTCACCCATGTCACTTTTAATATAATTTGTTTTTTATAATTTTCACTGAACTCAATTTTGATTTCCACCCAAGTCATTTGTAATTTAATTTGTTTTTTATAATTTTCACCCAAGTCAATTTTAATTTCCACCCAAGTCATTTGTAATTTAATTTCAATTCTGTTGAATTTCCACCCAACGCGTGACGTCATCTCAATTAACCTCGTTTCCAATGTAATGTATTATGTTTTATCTTATATGGTTCTCATACTGTAATTAGCAGATTGCAATGTATTATGTTTTACCTTATATCAAATAAATATTTTTATACGCCCCACGTATATTGTCGTCACCCCTGTCCGTCCGGACGTCCATCTATAATTTGTTTGTGGACACTATACAGGTCACAATTCTTATCCGATTTTGACGATACTTGATATATAGGTTTATCTCCAAAAGATCTAGGTTCCTTTCGATATTGGCATGTATCGGATTGAAACTTCATGAATTATGGCCCCTGATTGTACGAAAATTCACTTTTTTTAGCGTGTGGACACTCTAGAGGTCACAATTATCATCTGGTTTCTTTCGATATTCGCGCTTATCGGATCTTAACTTTCTGAATAACGACCCTTGATTGTACGAAAAATCTCGTTTTTAGCTTGTGGTCCCTCTAGAGGTCACATTTTGTATCCGATTTAAAAAAAACGTTTGAATATATCACCGTTACGCCCTAATGATGATTGAGTTACAATTTTCTGAAAATCTGATCGAAACTGCAGGACAAAATGGTCGCCCCTCGTACGCAAACTTTGAGAGAGAGAGAGGGAGAGAGAGAGAGATGTGAAAATGAAACAAAAAGACTGTTAAAGAAACCGAATTTGATGTTTATACATGTAGTGACAGTGATGATGATAACGACCAACTTTGATGACATTTTATAACTGCTTAATTTTGATTTTCAATAATTGATTTACTTCAATAAATAAATAATTTTTGTCTTAAATCTATATTTGTTAGCAAATTATACAATTATAGATACGGTTTCAGTTTAAATGTTTGTAATTCGGCCTTAAATATCTAAAATAGAGGTTTACAGCTATCTGTAGTAAAAATAACGTAGGGTCTAATTGAAAGGGTATGTTGGTGTGGGTTTATGTTTTAGTGGAAAAAATCACGTGGTTTCAATGCGATTTACAAAAATACGGACATAGTCTGGTCTCCATTACTTCATAGACACATCGCTCAACCACTGTTAAACATATCTCCTTGCTCATCAAACTAGATGCTCCGCCCATAATTTCTGGGTAAACACTAGCTGCAATTTTCAGCCGAGATGGCTGTGGTATTAAATTGCTGTGTCACATGTCACATGTACTGGTGTAGGCTAAATGTAATTGAATCTTTATGAATCATCAGATCGACTTTTGTTGATTTGACAGCGAATTATCAGTTAGACGGGTGAAATATTGTTTTTGTCTTTTTCTATTATACCTATACCTTCTTTCCCCAGTTTATGGACATGTTATGGATGAATATTAAAAAAAGGATTTGAATTTAGAATGATAAAATAATCAAACTATGACCAAAAGACTTCTGTGACCACGGATTCTCCAACACGAAAAAAAAATGTCCAAAAATAAAACGGAAAGTAAACGTGATATATCTAGGTGGAAAAACTTGATAGGGTTCCCTTAAAGCCGAGTCCCTGATGCCAGTGGCAGTGCCCCACGTCCAGTGGAAGGGCCCCAGAGACTGACAAAATGGTCCGTTTGACATCAGTGGACATGCAAGGCCAGTGGAAGCATCCCCAAGACCGACATAAGTGCTCCTTTGACGTCAATGCAAGGACCTGCGAGGCCAGTAGAAGCATACCCGAAGCCAACAGAGTTGCTCCTTTGACCAAGGACCTGCGAGTCCAGTGGAAGGGAACACAGGCCATGGACGTGGTTTCTACTTGTCAGCACCTGACAAGGAACAGCGTTTAGTAGCCTAGTCGTATAAAGAAGACGTAAATCCGAGATTCTGTGTACACAGAACAGTTCCGTTGAGTGTGTAGGGCGTCCACTTCTTCATTAGCACAGTTGGTGGCTTGGTGCCAAAAACAAGGACATTCAACCTATATTTCATTTCACTAAACGCAAATATGGACCTTACTTGGTGCATGTGTATTACGCTTAATTCTGTGTTTGGGAAAGTGAAAGTCATTTTTCGTTTGTCAATGGGTGATTTATTCATAGCAGAACTATTGTCCAATAAGAATTCTCAATCTGTATCGAAACAATTATATAACTTTCTATCAGGGATGAATTCAGGAAGACTTTGCCAGAAAAAATTGTATGGTTTGAAAAAACTCCATGAGAATTTCATCTTTGCTTTTGCCCCGCTGAGAATGTCAAATCAAAAGTACAAAATTTCTAATACATGTACATGCACCTTATATTTTATTCATATAAAGAATGTAGGGACCCTTCAGGACATAATCTTATGAAATTGTATAGCCGTTCGTTGCAAAAGTTCTTAGGTTTGATTCCATTTCGATTTAAATTGGTTCAAATGTTATCCAACGTGACATATCATTAACTTCATGAGAGGGATCTGGGACGGCTACTTGCCACTCGACATACATTTCTAATTTACTTCTCCTTGTTGGCGTTATAGTTGGTAAAACTTACATAAACATGCATTATGCAAGAGCTAAATCTGATTATTGCAAGTCTTAATTTAGGCTTCAGATGTTATAGAAATTATAAATTAGATCTTTATTTAAACAACAAGACCAAAATCAACTCTGTAGACCCACGGATGGCTCGGCTACAGCTCGGATTTAAATAGGATTTCACTAATTGATTAAATCAAATAAGGGGTAACCTGTTGAAAATACGTCAGTTAGATCGAGGCTAAATGATAGAGTGTACTTAGTGAGGCCGCTGTAAAGCGTTTCCGTATGCCATTGAAAACTTTACTTAATAATCGAGATATGTAGGTTGAGTTAACGCCTGTCAATCAAACGATCGGCGAGGGTGAAGACGCATTTCGCTACCATTTTTAGTCAAATATTACAACGATGATAACTATGTTCAAAATAAAGTAATTTGACTGAATTTTTCAATATATTCTTTTTTCATCATCTACTTTTGAACTGTTATAGCAAGAATGGCCAACTCTCTTTAAAAAATCTCCCATAATGTATCTTTAATAAACTTCCTTGTGCCATAATAAAATACAGTAATCATAATACCCCAAGGTCTTTGTAGAAACTATATGACCTTGTTATTGTACGAAATGTCACATAAAATGGAATGGGGTTTTATAATGTCCTACTTTGTCACACCCTAAAACATGGCAAATGAATATGGTCATACATCATAAGTATTAGACCAAATTGATTTCATTATTTGTTTGTCATGATCTTTATCAATAGCATCTCTTAATCTGTTTGTTTAAAAATTTGAAACTAAGAGCAATTTTGAGAGAGGAGAGAGAGAGAGAGCGAGAGAGGGAGAGGGAGGGTTTAACGTCCAATCATTGACACAAACTAGGTCATTTCGGGACTAACATGGTTCAATTTTATTTCAATATTTCGCTTGCACGTAGGGGTCTATAGCAGTGGGGGGAAACCGGAGGACCCGGAGAAAACTCACGAGGTTGGACAGGTGACCCTACCCCGTGTCACGTACAACCAGTGAATCGAAACCACGCCAGTTGACTGAGACCTTATGATACAGCATCTTGAGCTAACCATTCAGCCATCCAACCCCCTTGACTCAATTAAATTTTAATATGGATTTCCGACAACTTAAAATTCTTGTTGATGTGGGCGGGCGTTAAGTAGGTGACAACACAACCATAAACTATTACTTCCTAATATTTGGTAGCTAGACCATATACTATTTAGAGGCTTTTTCCCGGTTAGATACAAACTGGAACTGATGACTACACGTTGCCCAAATCTATCTATATTCGATTAAGTACAAATTCAGCAAAAAGAAAGCAAAACATGCCGCCGAAATCCAAAAATAAATGACACATAATTATATTAATTAATCGCACATTTATTTTTCTCAAAAGTATCAAGCACAATGTAGGCCTAAATCCTCAAGATTGGAAAATAAATTCTACACTATAAAAAGTTCCAGGTCAGCACGACTAAAAAGGCAAGATTTTGTCTTTTCTTTCAATTTTCAGGATCGACGTTATCTTGGCAGTCCATGTTGTGCCGTTCGCACGACGTCATGGCCGCCGTTTCATCTTCCAGGATGACAACGCAAGATGTCACAGGGCCAGGATCGTTACAGGTTACCTCCAACAACAGAACATCACCACATTACCTTGGCCAGCACTGAGTCCCGACCTCTCCCCCATCGAGCATGTCTGGGACATGCTTGGACAGAGGTCACGACACTGCCATAATCAAATCAGTGCATTCCAAATATTAAACAAGACGGATAGTCAAAATAATTATTTTATTGACAACGTTACTAGTTTTCACCAGGACACGTTTTTTTCTTTTCTTGGCAGATGATGGAAGGGTCGTCCTTCTTTACAAACCGATCACAACATTTCCCCAATTTCTAATTTCTGCATCGGTCCAAGCTGAAACGAGAGACCATATTTTCATAACATTTAACGTATTGTGGTGTGGTGGTGGTAGTGGTATTGGTTAAATTATTTAACAAAACCGAACAGTAATGGCTTTTTCGGTGCTTGAAACCGACAAGAGAATTATTTTTGTCGAAAGGTAGCTCCCGATTAAAATACAGTAATTGTTTTCCGTAGAAAACGGCAGATTTTACGCCTAGATTATTTAGTGAGTGACCCACCCATCAATTAATAACGGCAACATAAATGGGGCTTGGAAAAGACGTAAGGCTGCATAGCAGACAGGAATCAAGAGGGGCTCCGGACACCTGCTGTTCGCAGATAACATTTTGTTGTCTCTTACATTCGTTGAAATTACGTCGAACAAATAAACGTGCGAAGCATAGCCGCCATTTTGGCCTCACTTAACTCTAATCCTAATGTATGCATGCGCTTTATGGAACAGAGCTGGGATATCACACAAAACCTGACGCTGTCTCCACCTGAACACGCCCCTGTATTCATTCTGAATTCTAGGTTTCGTTTTCAGCCAAAGCTACCGACTGTTGAATCGACATTATCTCGGCATTAGTTTGATCTACAGACCTTTAGCATTCTGTCAGTGACAAATTGCCTGAAACTGTTGATCGATACGGAACTAAGATGGATTCTTTATGTAACACCATCAACATATATTCGATCCTAAGTTTGTATCTTAAAAAAATCATTCGTACGTGCAGATGGTACCATAAAGGGTCCCACAATAGTATTTTTTACATCCGGCAATTGCAGTCTCTCCAAAAGTTATTTTACCCACGGGTGTTGTACATATCTCTGTAATAAAAAATAAAAAATAAACTGAAGGAAGAATTTTATCTATAATAGACATAAATCGAAGAGAACATATACCTGTACAGGTGGATTAACATTTGGCAGATTGCATTTCGTTGCGTCTATTTCGAGTCTACCCGTCTTCGAATTAAACCTGCTAAAAGACATTTTACTTACAGTACGAACTTCCACCCGATTAGATTTTATTACATACTTCGAGAAGGTATTTGTTGAGTAATAAAACCTACTAGTAGTTTATCGAGGGCTGGCCGTCCTTACCGCACGGTAAGTATGTAATAAAATCTAATCGGATGGAACTTCAACCAAATACCTTGAGTTATTTATTCCGAAATTCGATCCCTGCATTGGCCGAGAAAGTTCATCCAGATTTTCCGGCGTGGTTTCCCCTTGTCAGTGATGCAGGACGGAGGGCTTGACAAGGACAGCTGTCTAGTCATTTGGATGAGACGAAAAACCGAGGTCCCGTGTACACATTGGCGTGCACGTAAAAGATCCCTTGACAGTTGGAATTCGATATAAGAGTAGGCCGTAGTGCCGCTGTCCGGGCAAAATTTCCCTCATAGCACACTGTATGGCGTATGCCCGTCTTCATTAGCCCAGTTCGGAGCAAAACAGTAGGACGTTAAACCCCATTTCATTTCATTTCATTTCATTTATTCCGAAATGCGAGACACAATTTCCTGCAGTATTGCCGAAGTTACTTCTTGGAATACGATGGTATTCAAATCCGCGACCCCTTGAAATAAAAGACTTTACCTGAAGCAGCCAGATATTGACATGCGGCCTCGAGTTCATAAACTAACATCGCTGTGCACCAGATAACAAGCAATATACTAGCACACTTCATCTTCAATCTTATTTAACAATTTTCATCATACAACGTTTGGGAAATATTCCCCTATTTATATATGTTTGTATAAACATCTGCTGTACACGTGTCATCATTACATTTATTAGCTGACACCACTAAGTTCTACTGTCATGAATATGCTAATCAATAGAGAGTTGTATAATACGTTCAATCGATTTAAAGATGCATAAGAGCTAATTTTGCCTATTGCAGGTCTTTCTGTAGGCCTTAGAACGAATTTATTAATTAGACTATCTTATAAACCTATAACGGTAAATCTCTTTGATCTTTGGGGTATATTTTATGCCCGGAATAACTTGCGATCTGAAACTCGAGGGCGGCTTTAAATATATTTGGGGTTATTCTTCTGAAAGTTTTTGATTAAACCTGTAACGGGTTATTCTTCCAGGGTAGGTTTTTTTTTCATAAGAAAACATGATATAAGGTTTTTCTTACTAGAATTCTGTGATATTCTCATTTTACGTACATGTAAACATAGACGGTTTATAAGTAAGATAAAATCGTCGACTTGGGTTATGCTTGGGAAGAAAGACTGTCGGCCTCGGTTTTTCATTTTCTCGTTTTTTTCTTCAATCTTTCTTTCCCCCCAGCATAACCTCAATCTCGTGCTTCATCCTACACGTAACAAAAATAACAATGACAATCCAGACTTCGCTTTTCTCAAAACCGCACTAACCTCGCTCAGAATGAAGTGATTAGACTGATACTGCCTTTTCATTATATAGTTTGTAACTATTATAGCGAAAACTGACAGCTCAGGATCTCAAACTTACTTAGTGCATCTTTAATGTTAATAACTTACAAATTGAAATAAAGTCAAAATGCCATCCTCAAAGCGTTCAAGCCTGGTGGGTTGAATTGCGGAGTGGCCAACTTGTCATTTAGACACGTGTTGTGGTTTCGATCGTTGGATTGTGCGAGGCCAAGCGTGTCGGTCACCTGCTTAACCTTGTGGGTTCTCTCGTATTGTGCGGCTTCTTTCCACACTCAAGACATGTCATATGTAGCGGACCACAGTTATAATAATAGTCACTAAAATCTCAATATGTGATGATTTGGGTGAACGTGTAGGTCAAATTGCTGGATGAACGCCCACCAGTAAATGTGTACAAAATGCCATTCGCGTCAGGAACTAATTCCACAATTTTGACTTTAACAGTCTATGAAAAGGGACCTACAAGACACCAGTGTGACCAACAACACATGAAAAATGGACGTTTAAATCGAATCCAGAATGGGGATTCTTCACATGTGGCCATTGCTTTTTGAATATATCTAATAAGGTTTTCAGCGTTACTGAATTCTATTTTGGCCTCAAAAATAAATTTCAGAAATTCAAACATCGTCATCATTTGGCATGTCTTTGCACCATCTTCGTGGTTATAAAGGTGGTTTCGATATTTCCAGTTGTTAAGAATTTGCGCCCTAATATTAGTACAGAACTGGTTATACGATCGCCCCTGTGGTATCAATTCTATGAATGGACTGAACTTGAGTATAGTAGTTATTCGAATTTTGTTTCGCACAGGATTTATCTGAGAAGGGAGTTGCTAAAGGTGGGTAGAAATAACCCGATGCCCGTATTAGTAGAAACATATATTAAGATGGGGGTTGGGGGTTGGATGGCCGAATGGTTAGCGTGTGTGCGTTGTATCATAAGGTCTATCATTGAGTCAACTGGCGTGGTTTCGATTCCCAGGGTGTACGTGACAAGGAGTACGGTTGGCTGTTAAATCTCGTGGGTTTTCGCCGGGTCCTCCGGTTTCCTCCCACTGATAAAGACACCTACGCACAAGCGAATTATTGAAATAAAATTGATCCACATGTTAGTCCCGAAATGACCTAGTTTGTGTCGGGTGGATGTTAAACACCATTTCTCTTTCTCCCTCTATTTGATGACAGTGAACCTATTTAGGCCATCTATTTCACACAAAATCTTATTTTATATCCAGCTGGACCTTCCATATAATCTGGGGTCTATTTAACAGAATCTTAAGTTAAAATCACTAAAATAGATTTTAACGAAAATCAAAATGAAATTTTAAATTTTGTGCGTTTCACGAAAATCGATTGTAACTTAAAATGTAGTGCATATTTCAAATGCGGGCACTTAGGGTGTAAGCAAATACGCTTCGGAACTGAAAACTGTTGACTGGTTGAACTAACGGTAACAATATCAATGGGGAGAGTTTCATACGTTGTAACGAAATGAAATGAAATGAAATGGGGTTTAACGTCCTACTGTTCTGCTCCTAACCTGGGCTAATGAAGACGGGCATACGCCATACAGTGTGCTATGAGGGAAATTTTGCCCGGACAGCGGCACTACGGCCTACTCTTATATCGAATTCCAACTGCCAAGGGATCTTTTACGTGCACGCCAATGTGTACACGGGACCTCGGTTTTTCGTCCCATCCGAACGACTAGACAGCTTTCCTTGTCAGCCCCTCCGTCCTGCATCACTGACAAGGGAGAACCACGCCGGAAAATCTGGATGAACTTTCTCGGCCAATGCAGGGATCGAACACCCGACCTCCAGGCTAGCGAGCTAGCGTCTTACCCACTTAGCCACGTGATCCTCCATACGTTGTAACAATGTTTGCACATGGTCAGGCAGTCGTAGAGATATGGATTAAATGAGTTTATTGCATATTATTCGTTTCGAAATGTATCGGTGGTTTGCCCTTGAAATTGTATATGCTGCTTTCGTGACGTTGGTCTTTGATTTACTCGCAGGCGTTAATGGAAATAATTCGTATATCGATAAACTAAATCGGTTGAATTTCGTAGTGTTAAGGTATTTTGGATAACAGAAACTATTGAGAAGTCTCACAAACATGCGATATTTTAACTCAAACGACTAATCTAGGCTGTAAATTATTGTCGTATTTTAACGGTATTTAACAACTTTGAAACTAATACACCAAGGAGCCAATGTTCCGATGCATAGATTTGAAATGTCATCGCCGTAGACCCTTTCAGTGATACTTTGAAAATGCCAAAGTGCCACACTCCTTATTGGATATTGCCTATTACTTAATTAAAATACCTTTGGCTTTTAAAACTGCTCTGATTTATGTTGTGTTATTAACGCAAGCCTTCATAAAGAAATAACAATAAATTTATGATATTAAAATTTAATTTCAAATAGGCCTATAACATTTTCCAATAAACACATTAGAGATTATTGATTTATCTTTTCACAAAACATCATAACCCCCAAAACCATATGAGTAAATACTTTGCATATGACATGTTTAGTATTATTGGCCTTTAGGCCTTCTAATACCAAGAAATTGGCCATTTTAAACCATTGTAGGTCTACACGAAGATATTTTTTATAGATAAGACTGCTCTTCTTTCCATGACATATGAAGTGAGTTCAAATTTTCTTTTAGGGTTTTTCTTTGATGTAAGTTAATTATTTGAAAATGGTATAATTTATACTTTGATCATATGGTAATGTAAAACAGTAACAAAGGGTTTTGTTTACTGGGGTTTTGGGTGATTTCTATCTTGAGGGTTCTCATCTATTGCTTAAATTGCCTTACAATAAAAATAAACGGGGGGGGGGGGGCTGTAGCTGTATTTCCCACGCAATAGATCTAACAAGGTTTGTTAATGTCGTATCGTGATTTTAAGTTGGGAGAAGGTGACAGCTGT